GATCAGGGCGACATTTAACTTGGAGTGAGAGGGAATCGGAGGTTTCAGGTGTGTAAACCTGTCAAAGGGGGGGCGCTTGACAGGTTTGTTGACCATCATAACACCGAGGTCGAGGTGGCATGTTGTACAAACCTGGCGAGCGGAGATCAATCCGTGAGACCGCAGTGATGGTGCTTTGTGGCGTTCCCGATTGCTGTCAGCGTATTTACTGACGACGCATTACAGGAGTCCCTATTGCTATACGCCTTTATCGAGGCGACATATTTTTGGATATGAGGTAGGGGCAATGCGAAGACTTAAATATCCCCGCGCTTGGTGTGGCTTCGTTTGTGGAGGTCGTCGAAGTCTATCGTTCCATCCTATGACGTCATTCATCATATGCCCATTCTCTACGGACCGTTATCCATGTTTTACGACGAACGAAGGTGTACAGAGTCCGCAGGCGCAACGCCCTCCAACACCGGGAGCGGCGGATCATCGCAGCTGGGTGCAGGCCAAACATACAGGTAGAGCCACCATGTTGCACATGTTCTGATGGGTCATCATCGCGGTCACCGAAAGAGTATGGGGACGGCGCTGGAACATCCCCACGGGGGTCTCACAGAGTGCGTCTATCAACGAACACACATGCTTCGCTCTCGTACAGGCTTCTTGTGCCTTGTCCTGCTGACCACCTTAGCGAACTGAATACTGCTTTGGAAGAATGCCGGGCGCGGCGAGCAGGCCGTGGGCGGAATTCGACGGCTATGATCGATGGGAGGAGAGGGTCTCAGGCCCTTCGTTGCGTCGCCCAAAAAGCTCTGTGCTCACGGTGAGTAGCTCTGTTACATCCCTTTGCGCGAGGCCTACGCCGGAACTTACCTAGGTGCACTGAGCTCTACCTAGAGTAGACGCGACGAGGTCGGAACCGGACCAGAAACCCCGCTCAAGCGAGATGTAGGCATGATCAAACTACGCCCCGCGCGAACACGGTAGTTGCAACCTTGGTTCAATGTTCACTCCTCCGTCGTACGGCCCGGTAGCATGGAGCTTCATATCGTGCCCTGATGGGCGCACTGCTGGCCAAATCGAGCATTCAATGTGTACGGTATAAAGCCTGGGCACCGGGGCAGTTGCTTCGGTTTCCCCGACTTTCTGTCCTTCTCGCTTCCCACCCTCCCCCTGTTCTCTTTCTGACCGTTCACCTGCGGCGGATAGGCCAGGCAAACACGGAGACTTCAAGATGGGTAAGGGTGTAAGTTGTACTCGCCCCTCCAAACGCTATACATGGCGTTGACCAGCATTTCACAGTATAGCGCACGAATTGCATCGAACCCCGTATGTCATCCGCACAAAGTCTACCATCAGCATGTGTAGCTGACCCTCCCTGCTACAGTACGTTGTAGGCTCGTTCGCATGTATCGGAGGCGGCCTCTTCGGACTGGACATTTCGTCCATGTCTGGAGTTCTCAGTGTATGCTGTTCGTTCATTCCCACATCACCCTCCCTAACGCCCTCCGTAGAACGACGCCTACAAGAACACGTTCGGCAACCCAACCTCGAACGCGCAGGGCGCCATCGTCGCAGCGATGCCCGCAGGCTCCCTCGTCGGCGCGCTCATGGTGAGCAGCCTCGCCGATAGGATCGGCCGCAAGAAGGTTGTCATCATCTCCGGCTGGATTTGGGTGCTCGGCAGCATCCTACAGTGCGCCGCCGTCGACCGCGGCATGCTCGTCACCGGTCGTGTCATTTCTGGTATCGCCGTCGGTCTTGCCTCTGCCGTCGTCCCGCTGTACCAGTCCGAGATCACTGCCCCCGCCATCCGTGGCCGGCTCGTGTCGATGCAGCAGTGGTCCATCACCTGGGGTATCTTCCTGCAGTACTTTGTCGAGTTTGGCTGCTCCTACATCAACGGAACCGCCAGCTTCCGTATCCCTTGGGGTCTGCAGATGATCCCCGCCATTATCCTCTCTCTCGGCATGCTCATATTCCCTGAGGTAAGTGCCACTCCGTGACAACCGGTGAAGGACTAGTTACTGATGGCGGCCGCAGTCTCCTCGTTGGCTCATTGACCACGACCGGCCGGACGAGGCCCTCGAGATCCTGGCGGACCTTCACGGCCAGGGCAACGCCGACAACGAGCTTGTGCAGCTTGAGTTCGCCGAAATCAAGGAGCAAGTCCGTTTTGAGCGCACCGAGGGCGCCAAGTCCTACCTCGACCTTCTCAAGCCGGGTATCCTCCGCCGTGTCCACCTCGGTGCCAGTTTGCAGATGTGGAGTCAGCTTTCAGGCATGAACATCATGATGTGAGTAGCCGCTTTTTATACCGGGGTAGGGCACCGCTGACCGTGACGATAGGTACTACATTATTTACGTCTTCCAGGGCGCTGGTTTGACCGGGCGCCGTGGTAACCTCATTGCGGACTCGGTACAGTATGTCCTTAACGTTGTCCTGACGAGTAAGCTCCTCTGCACTGTCTATAACATCACTCGTCTTACAACCACATCTAGTCCCTGCTATCATCTACATCGACCGCTGGGGACGTCGCCCAATGCTTCTCTGTGGTACCTTCTTCATGGGTTTCTGGCTTATGCTTGTCGGTGGCCTCCAGGGTGGCTTTGGGCAATGGGGTGAGGTTGATGGCTCTCGTAAGTCCGTTCCATGCAAAGAGTTTTCCTCACACTGATTTCGCCGCTATAGGTGTCTGGGTCATCAACGGTCATGAAAGCGTCACCAAGGGAGTCATCGTCTGCTCGTACCTATTTGTCTGCTCCTTCGCGATCACAATGGGCCCCGTCTCGTGGACGTACCCCGCGGAGATCTTCCCGATGCGCGTGCGCGCCAAGGCCGTCTCGGTGTCGACCGCGGTGAACTGGCTGTTCAACTTTGCGCTCGCGTGGGCGGTGCCGCCGGGCCTGTCGTCAATCGCGTACAAGACGTACTTCATCTTCGGCACGTTCAATTTCGCGGCCTTCATCCACATCTTCTTCTGCTTCCCCGAGACGGCCGGCCGCACGCTCGAGGAGATCGAGGACGTCTTCGCGCAGGGCCACGAGTTCACCGCCTGGAAGGTCGACCGCCGTGTCGGCCAGAAGACCCTCGATGACGTCGTCAACAATAAGCACACCGACTCTGTGAGTAGTGTTTCCCCCTCTTGCGCAGGGAGGCACGCTCTGATACGGGGTTGCAGCACGATGACCACTACAGCGAGACTGAGAAGGAGAAGGCGTGAGAGGAGTTTCCAGACCGCGAGCTTTTGGGTTCTAACTTCGGCATATTTTCAATATTGTCAGCATGTACATCACGTCAACTTTTATCACCCGACTTTTTTTACTACTGCCACCATGAAGCGTGCAGATTTCGCATTGGAAGTTGTGTTTCATGTTGGATGGAACTTAGTGATGATGAAGACGCTTGTGGCGCCAATAGTACGGGCGCATGGTGTAGTTGGTTATCACATCCGCTTAGCACTTGACTGTGTCTGCGGGGGGTGCTGGGTTCAATTCCCAGTGCGTCCAAATATTTTTTCTTTGGTTTGGAGTCTACCTAGGACTTACTACTTAACTAAGTTAACTTAAGTAGTACTTATGCGTCTAGTACTGACCCCCGTCATCGGGACGGGCGGCCGGCGGCACCCGTATCCTGACAACATTCAATCTTTGTCTCCGAAAATGTGGACCACGATGAGCACGGAGTAATTTACAACATTCGTCTTTAGGTCGCCGCTCTGATTTCTCAGTCATTGGAGGTTGGGGAGTTTGTAGGTGCCACCTATGCGGAAACCAAACCTCACGAATGTCGTTGACTTGTGGAAGGCATCCAGCGGTAGCATAGCTTTGTGACGAAGGGTCCGTCACCCCCGCGCATCGGTCCAAGAATGCCTTGATCACACAATACGACCTATTCAAATTTAGGTTAAGTCGAAAGCCGCCACCCTTGAGACGCTGCCAGGCTTCTCTCGCCTTTCGCCTACCAGCCTTCTGTATCCCGGATCCGATAGTTGGTAGGATAACAGGACCCAAATCATACCAGGCCCGCAACCGATTTGCTTCCGAGTCCTCCCATCCAACATGCTCTCCCAATTTCGAAACCACAGATGCGCCGTCAGATGGGGCAGGCTGTGGTACCTTCGTCCGTAATACCCATCGAGGCAACCAGTGGGTAGATATAAAGCCAGGGAACGCGGCCGCAAGAATAGGTCGTTACATTTGACATGTACCCGCTCCTGACAGTCGAGTGTGCGGCGCTCCTCATAGAGTCCATCCTTTACGGTATGTCATAAGCCTTCCTTCGTCTTCTCGCGACTAGTGCTCACTTTGATCGTGTAGGTATTTATGCGGTCACGTTCTCGGCCACCTTGTACCTTCTCCGGTGCGCCGTGCAGCTGCAGTGGCATTAAACATACGACTAATGCGTATCAGCCGGCGGAGGCAGAGCAAGGTGCTTACGGCAGTCACAATCACGATGTTTATCCTTTCCACGGCACACATCGCTCTCCTAGCATCCTCCCTTCTTCGTCACATAAACCGTGGGCTTGTTGACGATGCGCTGGAGTTTCGAGACCCTGCCTTTCCAGAGCCCTCCATTCAAATTGTACTGGAGTGCATCAACGTGCGTACTCGAACCACTGAACTCGATTTCGATTTTCTCACTCGACATGGAAAAGTGCATATTTGGCGATAGCATCATCGCATGGAGGGCTTGGGTGCTTTGGAATCGCAGCAGGATAGTCATCGCGATACCAGCCGTTCTGCTTACTTGTACGCTTGGTAAGTAGCGTTTTCATCTTCGGCCGTCGGTACACCCCCTGACAGCCCCTATGATCAGCATCTGCGGTAGGACTTTGCCACGCCGTAGTGGTCGCCCCCGCCTCTGGGACAACCCTCACCTCTGGATCCGTATTCGTATGGGGCGCTATGAGCATTGGCCTGACATTCATCACGAACGTCTGGGCCGTCGTGCTCATCGCAATTCGCTTCTGGTCTGTCGTTCTCTCATGGCGGCTCTCAGGTGACCAAAAACCACCGCTCATATATCACTGGTACCTGTAGGAAGCACTATCAACTGCTGGCTGTGCACGAAGACATCAGCGGACGGACGTACATCAGCGAACGCATCCCCGTCTACAGCATCCTGCTGTTCCTCGTCGAAAGCGGCGCCCTGTACTGCTGCACGCTCGTCAGTGCTCCCTTCTGATAGAAACATAACAAGCGAAAGTATCCCTGACGGACATCTATCCGCCCGCAGATCGCCGTGGCGGCGGCGTTCGTGTCCCACACGAACGGCGTGTATATCGTCCTCGATCTGCTCGCGCAGTTCACGGTGAGCGCGCCGCCGCCCGATCCGTCTGTGCGTGGGAGCTGATCTGCGTGCCACGAACAGGGCATTTACCCGACCCTCATCGTCGTCCTCGTGTGCCTCCAGATGACGCAGCGCGATGCAGTGGACAGGCTTGAGCGCGGCACCGCGTCAGGGTCGCTGCCGACGATCGTCTTCGCTGCGCACAGCGGGGGCGTGCTCACGTCGGGCGTATCTGCGCTGGGGGGCTTCCTGCGGGAAGATGATCGAGGGAAAGATATTCGGTTGGTTGCATGATAGGTATTTGGGTCGAAGGCGGTTGTGGTTGTCGTCAAGTTGTCGTGGATATTTGGATGCGTGAAGCTCTCGCCGATACTCTACAAACACTGAGAAGAGACAGCCGGATCTTCTGGGATACCAATAATTCCCCATTTTACCTTACTGTATACGTTACTATGGACGGGGTCTAGAAGCCATTAGATACGGATAGAGAATGTGCCGGCCAGGATCTCTTTATGAAAAAACCGTGTGCACCACCTTCTAGTCCCATAGAATGAATCAACGGATCTGTTGAAGCTGTATCCTTTTGCACCAACGTTACGGCAGCCATGGACTCGACTAATCGAGACAGAACTGAACGACGGAAAGGAGGAGGAAGCAATCCGGCCGTCTCAGCGATACGTCTAGCACGCAAAGACGCTGACATCCTGTCCCTTCTTCAGGATCTTCACTGCCTGCTCAACCTCCACGAACCAGCTAAAGTCCTTGTCGTTCCCACCCGTCCCGGGCGCGACCCGATACATCAGCGACTTGAGCCAGGACGTGTAGGGCAGCTCCTGTACATGGAGGTGGAGATGGTTGACCGTATTGAAGGGCGGAATCACGAATCCCATTCTGCACCGCTGCATGAGTCTGAATGCGCGCAGGTTGTCCAGGCGGGAGCCGTACCTGCGCTTGTCCTGGCTTACCTCGAGTTTGTCGAGGATGGAGTGGCCAATCTCGGCCATCTTCTCGGCTGGTTCTAGGTGAGCTAAAGTTGTACGTCCGGCACGAACGGGCTGTACCTCTCGCCACATCTGTCTGGTGCAGTGATTTGATGCTGTCTGATAGCGAGGCCTGAGCACACAATGTTTTCCACATACATAGGTGGCATACCTATGTGCGTTTTCGGGATGAGGAGGATATGTTGAGCAGATGCGGGACTGCGGTCCTTGAAGGCTGTGTACTCTTCGTCCTGCTGAGTGTATTAGTGGATGAATACCCGTCCGCGAGCGACGCATGGCCGACCTCCCACACAATATTGAACCCTTTTTCTGCTGTGGCACTGCAAAATGGACACCCCGGTTTGGTCTGTATGTCAGCCATAAAGGTTTAGACCGCGAAGTGAACAGCGGTCTTGTGATAGCTAGGATTTCGGTGGAGGTGGTCACGAGGTGAGGGGGCGTGTCCCAGTCTGGTCTTATGCTCTCGCCCGTGAGAAATGATCCAGCCATCCTCTATCATAATGATAATCAGGAGAAGGGCAAAAACTCGACCATTGCCCATCTGTCTACTTTCCGCAAGACACGGCCACAAAGCCCGTTATGAAACCCAGGCAACAATCCGGAGCTTTATGCGGGAAATATTCTATGCGCAACAAGACCATTGGCGCCAAGTGCGACCCTATAGGAAATTTAGCCAAAACCATGAGATACCAGCCGAGAGTTCGTCACTTACAACACTCAACTTCAAGGCTCATCATCGCTCTTTTGGAGCACCAAAAGGTCTCCCTTGTCTAAAGACGCAAACTGACCTCTCAACAGGCCCGCTAAGCTTCGCTTCAGCTGCACGCGCTGCTCCAGCGACCACTTCGACTGCCTCCCCATGCCCCGCCACTTCCATACTACACGGCGCAGCGCGGGGCGCTCTTTGTCAACAGAGTTAAGCCACTGCAAGTCCGCATCGAGGCGCTGCCCGAACGGGCGGAGGTACTCGTCCTCAGTGGCCGCCTGTCCGTCGAGCTGGACGGAGAATGCGATGGTGTGTAGCGCAGGGGGCGCGCTCGCGATGAGGCGCGAGCCGAGGCGAAGCATGGAGGCGTTGAAAGGGAGGGAGGACCACGGCTCGGCGAGGAAGCTAAAGCGCAGGGTAAGCTCTGTCAGGGAGGTCATGTGTGTGAGGTGCAAGCGGCGAATGTCTTCTTCGAGCGCTATGCGGATGTGAGCGTGTATTGTGCATTAACGAGTGGGTTAAACGAACGATTTGGTGTTCGCATTATGAAATCGGTGAGGTCTATGGAGAATCGCTTCAGCTGATGACCAGCCTCGGCTAGAAAATCGCCCAGTGCTTGGACATCGGATGTGACGTAGCAAGAGACCCTAAGGTCTTGGACGGCTCCCTGCTTGAAGATCTCAAGGAACTGGGCGACCGACCATCGAGCTCGTAAAGTCAGGGTCGTGATCCCTGAGATATGTGGTATCGGCCAAGTAACCTGCGGGTTGGTCGTGTCGAAGCTGAGCTGGGTAAGGCACAGCGCTCGCGGAGAGCATATGGATAAAAGGGCGGATATCAAGCCCTCGCGGGTGCCGATCCCACACACGAATTTCAGGGCGAGACGTTCCAGAGGCTGCCGACGCGGTGTCAGGGTTTCGTGATCGTACTCCAGCGCAAGGCCATGGAGGTTAAGAACCTGCAGCGCAGGGATCTGGAGGAGGAGTTTAAGTAATTCCTGCATGGTGACAACAGGCTCTTTCTTCGGCGTAGGGCCGTCAGCCGTGATCGTGAGGTCACGAACGTGTCGCTGAGGCATATTGCCGCCATCTTCGGGGCCGGCGAAAAAGGCGATGATCTGGTGGATCGATCTGTCCCTTAGGTGTATCCGCAGCGTGTGAAAGAGAACACGTTGCGAGTCGGGACGCCACGAGTGGCAGACGAGCGACGATGATCGCAGAGTTTCGCGATCGTCCTGAAGAAAGCTGATCATATAGTTAGTGACCTCTTGAGGGATGTCGGTCATGGCCATTATTTGCGGGTGACCGTCAGAGGCAGAGGTCTACTCTGTTCCCAAGTCCGCCCGCTCGACGACTTTAGGGGGCGATACCTACGTGGCAGTGGTCAGGGTGAGACCCTTTGTGGCGCAACAAATTCCCAAAGCTAGTTACCCACGGTTAACCGCGGGTAACAAGGTGATCCCATCACTGTCCGTGAATCTGACACCGACCGCCACCACCTTCCGTCCACA